TGTCATTCTGTTTCGTTCATTCATTTATTCATACGCAGAGACACATTGAGATTAGAATTGAACGACCATTCGTGTTTATTGATTTGGAATTAATTTCTCCTTAATGAATGGCACACTCGCACCCACACATACACACACACACAATATTATCTGACAATCTAAATGAGTGGCTTTTTTCCAATATTCAATGGCAGAAATTTTTTCATTTTTCATTCATTTTTTTTCTATCTTTTAATTCAATTGTTTTTCCAATTAAAATTGAATGACAGAATTTTTTTTCATTTTCATTTTCATTTCGATTCGGATTCTGAAATTAGATTTCAAAAGAAGAAAAAAAATTGAAATTTTTTTAAGATCTCAACACGATTCATATATCCATCGTGTGTGTGTTATCTCTTATATCGATTAAATTCTATTAACCAAAAAAAAAAAATCAGAAGAATCAGAATTTTTCAATAAAAAAAAGAAAAGTTTTTTTCAGACTATTGAATTGTCTATAGCCAGCATTGTCTGTCTGGCTGGCTGTCTGGTTTTTCTAGCTGATGTTGACAATTTTTTTTTCTGTTTCAATCATCTTATGAATGTCATTTTTGAATGTGACGAGAAAAAAAAGGAAAATTTCAATCATTTGATTGATATTTGAATATAATCTGTGTGTGTGTGTACAAGTTGCACAGACAAAACTTGCAATTTTTATTTCTATTTCATTTCAATTTCCTTTTTTTTTATTCAAAGATGTGATTTTTTTTTCTCCCTCTATTTTTTTCCAGTCAATTTCTTTTGTCGGTTTGCTACTATTGTTGTTGTTGTTGTTGTTTCAGTTGCACGCGACATCTTTGAATTTCCTTTTCCTTCTGTTTTTTTTTTTTTTTTTTGTTTGTTGTTGTTGTTGCTACTGTCGTTTTTTTTTATAAATATTCAAACCAATCATTACGCAGTTTGAATAATTTTTACACACACATACACAGACAAAACTTATTGACATTGCAAATGTGTTGCCCATGTTGTTGGTGATGATGATGATGATGATGATGATGCCAATTCAAATACACTATTATTCAACACTTGATATTCACGTTCACAAACACACATTTGGAATGAATAATTGAAAACATTGACTAACAAACAAACAAACAAAGACGACGACAACGACGACTACGACGAAAACCACTTGAATATATTATTTGTATATACATTCACATTCACTAATTTCTTTCTTCTTCCTTTGATGTTGGTTGACATGTAAGAATGACGGCAGTATATGCAAATAATAAAGAATAACAACAACTGCGACAACAACAACAAAAATCCAATAGACAAAGTTTCAAAATCACCAATCAAATTCTTATTTTATCCATGTCAGGGAATAATAATGGAATATCGAACGTTATTTTTTTGAAATTTCCGATCAATTTCTTGTTTCGATTGTTGCAGTTGTAGTTGTAGTTGTTGTTGTTGCCAAATGAGAAAAAAAAATGCATCCAGTTATTCTGTAATTTTTTTCGCCCGCCACTATTATTTTATGTGGATATTAAAATGAAAGAAAAAAAATTCTGTAATCCTTTTTTTTCGTTTTAATAGTAGTAGAATCCGAATAAAGTGTGAACGAAAGAAAAAAAAAACTCTTACCAACAGTTTTCACCAACAGTTATCATGTATGAGCCTTCATTATGAATTGTTTGCACTGAGATTGCTTTGATTCTCTGATTTTCACACTCTTATCATTTTCAGTTTCATTTCGTTTCAAAAATTTTTTCTAGTTCCAGATTTTAAGCCAGATTTTCTCCCCATCATCATCATCATCATCATCATCATCATTATTGTTATATTGATATCAAAGTCAAATATTTGGCCAGTTTTGTTCCCTCTCTGTCTCCCTCTCTCTCTTGCTTTTTGTATTCGTGAATTTTTTTTATTCCATTCGACAACCGTGACTGCGACAAAAAAAAATGTGCCATGTGGCAAACAAAAAAAAAATGGGAAAAAAATGAAATTTTTTTTCTTGCATCTCCATCTTCATCATCATCATCTAGTTCTTGGAATTTTAACCGATACATACAAAAAAATTTCAGAACAACAAAAAGAAAGAAATTTGAACTGGAGAAGAATAAGAAACAAAAAAAAAAACGCCACCAACTAGCACCTGCGTCTTATATAGAAGTTGTTATTTTTTTTTCTATGGAAAAATTTTTTTGTTTTGTTTCCAAATTCTGTTGATAGTTGTGAATTAATGTTATTCTAGTGGATTTTTTGGTTTTGTTTTCGTTCAATTTGATTTGATTTGATTTGATTTAGGTTGATTGGCCGGTGTTGAAAACAAAAAAAAAAACAAAAATATCGGAATCCAGAATTCTCAGAATCGATTCCAATTCACAATAGTCGTGTGTATCTGTGTATCTGTATGTTTTTATTTATTTATTCATCGAATTGTACGTTTTTTTTTGTTTTTTGTTTTGTTTTTATTTCAGATTTTCAGATTCTTCAGTGTTTATGATATATTCTAAACACAAATTCTGGTGTAGAATATATACACACACACACACACACATAGCAATAAGGTAACCAAAACATCTACTTTGTTTGTAGTGCCAATACCGATATTCATGTGTAATAATGATGATGGTGATCATTGATAGGATCCAAAAAAAAGAGTATAGATTTCCTCGTTGTCATCGTCGTCGTAGTCGTGGTCGCCTTCGCCACATTGAATATAACGCAAACGCAAACATTCTCTACATTCCATTGTGGTGTGTGTGTATGTATTGGATATATAGACGTATAAATGGTCTGTTTCTGTTTCTGTTTTTTTTGTTATACACTGGAATTGAATGTGAATGTGAATGGATAGTATATGAATATATATAAACTAATGGCTGTCATTTACGGTCACAATGTAAACGTTATTTTCTTTCCTTCTTTCATCTCTTCTCTCTTTTCCCATCTTTCAAGATTTTCATTTTCATTTTCTTTTCATTTTTTTTTCATTTTGAAAACCTTCTACACATTTCTACAAACAAACAAACAAAAAAAAGTGGTTGGCGCCATTCATTCATTCATTCATTTGTTGTTGTTGTTTTTGTTGTTGTTCAAACTTTGACTTTGTTGTTGTTGTTGTTGTCATATTTTTCGCATGTGTTATTCGGTTTTCTGTTCTGTTCTGTTCAAAAGTTGTGATTTTTTTTCTCTCTCTTTTCTCTTTTCTCTTTTTCAATTTGTGAATAATTTCTCTCAATTGTATGAGTCGTGATTTCTTTCTGGCCAATCAATAAATCTATGTAGATGATGATGATGATGATGAAACAAGTAGCAGTCAGTGTTTTTTTTCTTCCTTTCTAGGTAGTTAATTTGTTTTTTTTTCATTTCATTCAAATTGAAGTTCAACAACAACAACGTAACATGTGAAATACAAAAAAAAAATTTTTGAAATTGAAAGAGAAATAAATAAATGAAAAAAGTTCAAACATTTGCCATTGGCTTCTGTTAATTTGTTTGTTTGTGCGTGTTTGTGTGTGTGTGTCTGAGTGTGTCTTTTTTGGTTCATAATCATAATCATCATCATCGTTTGTTTGCTAATTTTTCCAATTTCGAGTTCAATAAAACTTTATATATACGTTCAATCATTTACTGTTGTTGTTGTTGTTGTTGTCATTGTTTGATTCTTTGATTCTGAACAAAAAAGTTTTCCAGTTTATGATGATGATGATGATGATAATGTGATGTGATTCATTTATTTACCATCTTTAAGTCTGTGTATATGTGTGTGTGTGTGTGTTGGTTATTTTTGGTTGTTTTTGATGTGATCTGTTTCTTGTCATTGTTGATGATGATGATGATGATGATGATGTTCCACAGTTACCCCACACACACACACATACCACCATCATATCGTACAAGATCCATCAAGAATTTATTTTCAAGTCTAATTGTTGTTGTTGTTGTTGTTAAAAATAGAATTTTTCAAGCATCACACACACATACACACACAAGTGTTCCTTTTGCATCATTCATTTCATTGATTGAAATTATTATGATCCAATGATTTATTTGTAATGATGACAGTTTTTTTTTTTTTTTGATTTGCTTTTTTTTCATAAATTATCATTTTTTTTGTGCGAAAATTGTTCATTCATCCGAATTCAAGATATACATAACGTTCAATGTGTCTCTGTGTGTGTGTGTGTATAATCCATATTTATATCATATTTTTGATGATGATTATGATTATGATAATCATAATGTTGTCGTGACCAAAATCACGATCCATTCGTTATCGTTATCGTTGCTCTGCTGCTGCCACTGCTGCTATTGCCATTGATGTTATATTAGAAGGACACATTTGTCAATCTCAAATTCTCTTCATGACAGTTTGTATATTGGAAAAAAAAGGTCAAATAAAATGAAAATGGCAAATAATACAAATATACAAATTGAAAAAAATAATGACCCGACAACAACAACGACAACGACAACAACAACACAGGTCAAATCGACAACTGTAACAACAACAGCAGCAGCAGCAGCATCCGCTTCAACAATAATGAAATTTGATCGAAATAGCACTATTTCTACAATGAATACTCTATCAAGTAGCAATAGTAATAGTAATGGTGGTGGTTATGGTGGTGGTGGTGGTGGTGATGGTGGTTGCGGTAGTAGTAGTAGTATTGAATTACATAATAATAATGATGGTGGAAAATCATCATCAATTCGTTGTGTTGTATCAATTGAACTTGCTCATAATGATAATGATGATGATGGTGATAATGATAATCATCATGATGGTAATAAAAAACATTTTTGCCATCCACTAACATCTACTACCAATCATTATCATCAAATGGATCAAATTGAAACACAACAACAACAACAACAACAACAACAAACGATAATTACAACCACCACCACCACCACCCAACAACAACAACAACAACAACTTTATCATCATATCATCATCCAAATCAAAATCATAATCATAACCATCGTTCACCATCACCAAATCGTAAAATATTAATGAAAAATATGGCTAAAAATTCTTCATTCAATGTTTATCATAATCATGATAGAACTATTATGATACCGAATATTACAATGACATCTTCATCATCGTCTACTTTGACAACACCACCACCCACTACAACAGTATTAATAAATGATGATTGTTTTGATAATAATAATAAAAAAAATCTGGCATCACCGACAACAACAACAACAACACAACTACAACCACAATCATCATCATCGATAAATAATCGTTCAATGATGATTAAATCTCGTAATCATTTATTAGCTACCAATAATTCTGGTAGTAGTGGTGGTGGTGGTGGTGGTGGTGCACCAATATTATTATCAGTACCAACAACAGCTAATGGTGGTCCACCAAGACGTCGTCATTCATGGATTTGTGGGTAAGTTTGGTTGATATTACATTGGCAGCAAAGAATTGAAAGAAAAAAAATACCATTATTCTTCATTAGAATTCTGTATGTAAGTTTATCAATTTAGTTTCCTTGTAAATAGTAATAGTAATGGTAGTTAATGATGATTTCAATTGCCTTTTTGGCATCGTCATTGAAGAGTTTTATTGATATATAAAAATAACTCCAACTGGTTGATATTGTTTTTGATTTCGATGTCGAATGATCGTGACCTCTTCGTTGATCCACCACTGAAAATACAAATTGTCACACTTTATTCTGATTCTAATGTGATAGCCGATGAAATCAAATATTTCTTTGATTGGCAAAATTGATCGATAACCATCTAATAAAGCTTTCGATTCAGCTTCACAGCTAGATGTTGCAATCTTCTGTTGTTTTGTACTACGCCAGAAAAGCGTAGACTGACCAATATTGGCAGCAAAGAATTGAAAGAAAAAAAAAATACCATTATTCTTCATTAGAATTCTGTATGTATGTGACTTGAAAATGGTAAAAAAAAAATATCAAACTCTACAAACGGTAAATGTCAATGTTCAAAAAACTTTCATGTCTCTCTTGGTTGATCGTATTATCAATTTAGTTTCCTTGTAAATAGTAATAGTAATGGTAGTTAATGATGATTTCAATTGCCTTTTTGGCATCGTCATCATTCAATCATATAATCATTCGAAATAAGAATCGATTAATTGAATGAAATAGAAAAAAAAAATTCTTCAACTTGTCCAACCCATACACTCAAACACCAGAATTTTTGTTTTCAAGTTTTTTTTTTCTGGTTTTTTGGTTCTCTACACTCGTGATGATTATGATGATGATGATGATTATCATTTATTATTTCATCTTCATTTTCGTTAATTTTTTTTTTTTGTATCAAAAGAAATTGAATGCTAATGTTTCAGTGTCTATCAGTGATCAAATTTCATCAGTTTCAATTTTCTTTTCATTTCTATTGATTATCTTTATCTCACTCAGTCAGTCAGTCACTTTTTTCATTGCTTTTTGTTGTCTTTTTTTCTGATTGTCTTGGATTGTATTGATTTTCAATACATTGTCCATACTGTGAAAGTTGTTTATTTTTTTTTTTTTTTTTTCATTCGCCTAGCAACAACAGACAAACAAAAAAAACTTAATCAGGGAATGTCTGGTTGATGGAATCCAAAAAAATCGATCCATTCTTATGATGATGATGATGATAATTGGATGATTTAATCATTATCAATAGTCAAGTTAATTAAAGAATTATATTCCATTCCATTTTTACCACACTTGAACACATAAACACACACACACACATGTGAAAGTGATGGTTTCAAATCTTTTTTTTTTTTTTTGTTCTTTCGATTATAATCGATTTATTATATATTCATGGAAACAAATCGATTTCCAATTTAACATTCATCTCATCTCATCATCATCATCATTCTGTTTTGCATAACCAAAAAAACACACATTAATTCGAAAGAATACCATAAAATGTAGGTGTCCAGAATTTTCCATTATTCGTCTGCTGTCTTGTTGTTGTTGTTGTTGTTGTTGTGCATAACCTGATAAGACATTTGATGCTTTTTTTTTTTCATTCATTCATGATGATGGTCATTTGAAATTGAATTTTTTTTCCTTTTGTTGTTTTTCCATTTAATACAATCACAAATGGTTACATTTGATTTCTTCGGTTAATGTGTGTGTGTGTGTGTGTGTGTGTGTGTGAATGTCACATCTATGTGAATGTTCAATTTGGTCTGGTAACAAATTCTAGCCATTTTTTTCATTCATCGTTATTTTTTTCTGGATAATCATCATCATCATCATCATCAAATGAATCGATTCAAATGCAGCTGCAAATTGAGAATTGTGAATTCTCAATTGATGGTTTTAGTTTCCAATTGGTTTTGGCCAATGTATATTGGTGAAAATTTATTCTCGTTATATACGTGCTCCATTGGGACACTTTTTTTTATAGTTAGTTAGTTAGTTATGTGTGTGTGTGTAGTAAAAAGAATCGTAATGATATTGGCTCATTTTTCTTCTTTTTTTTTTACTTTCTACTTTCTTAAATTCACATTTCATCTATGTTTAAATGACATTTTCAAAGATCAATCTGTTACATTAGCCGTGTGTGTGTGTGTGTGTGTGTTTGATCGCTATAAGGTTTATATTTATTCACATTCTGTGTCCATAGAATAATTGCATTGTTGGTGGGGACACAACAACAACAACAAACAAACAAACAAACGAACACAATATTAAATCATCAGAATAATAATTCTGTATTCTGGTATTTTTTTTTTTATTCTTTCTCTCCATAATGATCTATATATATATATCAATTGATGAGAAAAGCAAAAAAGCCACACACACACAACAATCAACTATAACGTTTTTGTTGTTTTTTTCTCTAATATTCATATATAAATTCTTGTTTAATAACCTAACTAAACTAAACCAAACCAACGTATCGTATTACAATACATTCGTTTTATATTGATTCACATTCTGTGTCCATAGAATAATTGCTATTAAATCATCAGAATAATAATTCTGTATTCTATTTTTTTATTCTTTCTCTCCATAATGATCTATATATATATATCAATTGATGAGAAAAGCAAAAAAGCCACACACACACAAAAACCGATTAACTATCTGTCGAATTCAATCAACTATAACGTTTTTGTTATGTTTTTTTTCTCTCTATCTTGTTGAATATTCATATATAAATTCTTGTTGTGTATGGCACGAATAATAACCTAACTAAACTAAACCAAACCAAAAAAAAAATCCAATTCTCAATCATTTGATTTCACAATTCAACAACAAACTGAATATATTCTGTGTCTGTGTGTGTGTGTTTTCAATTTTATTTTCTATTTCACTATTTACTGTTCATCATCATCTTGTTGTTGTTGTTGTTCATTTTCATTCCATCATTGCATATATCGAATTCACACAATTGACATTTCCAACAACAACAACAACAACAAAAAATCCATTGCATTGTTTGCTCAATGTTGTCGTTGTCGTCGTTGTTGTTGTTGTTGTTGGATTTTTTTTCTCCACAATATTCCATCATTTCAACATTCTCAATCAAGTTTTATTGTTGTTGTTGTTGTTGTTAGCTTTTTTTTCTACTGGTTTGGATCAGAAAAAAAATTCAATATTCACTGTCGTCACATACACAGAGGCACCATGACTAGTAAAAAAAAGTCATTGTATTGAAAAAAAAGAAAATTCTTGAAAATTTCAACAACGACGACAAAGAATTCGAGAATTTGAAAAAAAACGTATATGGTGGAATTATTTTATTTTTTATTTATTTATTTTTTTTTGAAATGTAAACAAAACGAACAAAGATTGATTACATTTGGAATTAAAACACAGTGGAAAAATTCTTTTCAAAATGGACACTCTATCTATCTATCTATCTAGCTAGCTCTAAATGATTCAATTTGATCAATTTTTGCAACATTAAACATACGATATTGGTCCATGGTCCATGTTGTTGTTGTTGTTGTTGTCAATGAAAAAGTCAATGTTGGCCATCATCATGATGATGATGATGATGGATGTTGAATTTGATAAGATCACGTTCGTTTGTTTGTTCTTTTGAAACATTTTGAAATCAAAATGAAATCGATTCTTGACGAATAGAAAAAAAAGAAAGTTATGTTGTCCACTGTCTATGTTGGATCAATTCTATTTTGGATGATATTTAGTCAATATTCCTCGTTGTTTGACAACAACAACAACAACAACGACAACGACGACGACAACGACAACAGAATACGAAAATGACATTTCGACAAATTAATTTATGCCAAATGATTTGTAAGCAAACAGAAGAAAAAACATACACATGATGATGACGATGGTGATGACAGAATATTCTTTGATATTATATGTTGAACATTTTTTTGACTGTTGACCACCAATATAATAACATAAAATTAAGCTGTATGGAATTTTCTTATTAAATTCTTATGTATCTCTCTGGTTTGATGATGATGATGATCATCATCATGTATTATAAATTATTCTTTCAATGTCAATCTTTGATGTTTTGTATGCATGTGTGTGTGTGTGTGTATGTTTGCAATGTTTCAAGATTGATACTGATTAGTAGTACTAATAATAATAATAATTTTCCATTTAATGCTCAATAATTTAAAACAAATTGAATCGTCTTTGATTTATTCATATTCAATATGTATTAATTCAATTTAATAATCATCAAGTTCTGTCAAGATCATCTTCGTCGTGGTTGTCGTTGTCGTTTTTCTTCCTTCTCTCTCTCTCTCTTTTTATCGATAATAATATATTATTGATTGATTGATTGGTAAATAGTAAGAAACCGGAAAAAAATTTGAAAAAATACATGGTCATTGCATTTTGTGTTTTGTGCGCGTGCGCGTGTGTGTGTGTGTTTTATTTATTACATTCCAATGTTGATGACATACTAATGTCAACAAACATTTTTTCAATAAAATTTAAATTTCTGAAATCTGTCATATTCATCTGCAGTTGTTGTTGTTGTTGTTGAAAATTTAACATTTGGCCATCATCATATTGATGCGAGGAATGCGAGGAATGAACGAAACGATTAATTAAAAATGGCAATGTGTATCTGTGTATGTCTGTGTTTTGTGTTTGTGGTAATCTTTCTGATTTTCGATTGCTTGAAAACTTTCCAAGTATGTGACATACTAACGAAATTTTTTTATTTTTTTTTCAAAAGTTTTCCATTTCCATATCTTGTGATATAATCGATTTGTAATGAAATTTTCAATTTACCATGTTTTTTTTTATTCTTCTGCTCCATTCAAATTCGATTAAAATTCTGGTTTTTCTTTTTCTTTTTTGAATGAAAAAAATTTTTTTTTCTCTCGATTCTTATTCAAAATGATGATGATGATGATGATGATGAATCGTTAAATTATTCATCCATTGTTGTTGTCGTTGTTGTTGTTGTTGTTG